ATGTATTTGAAATTCAGAGAAAATTACTGCATTAACAGTAAGAACATAATACTTCAACATTATGAACATAACCAATCAACAGTACGAACATAACAATCAACAGTATGAACATAACACATCAACAGTATGAACATAACACATCAACAGTATGAACATAACACATCAACAGTATGAACATAACACATCAACAGTATGAACATAACACATCAACAGTATGAACATAACAATCAACAGTATGAACATAACACATCAACAGTATGAACATAACACATCAACAGTATGAACATAACACATCGACAGTATGAACATAACACATCAACAGTATGAACATAACACATCGACAGTATGAAAATAACACATCAACAGTATGAACATAACACATCAGCAGTATGAACATAACCCATCAACAGAATGAACATAACACATCAACAGTATGAACATAACACATCAGCAGTATGAACATAACACATTAACAGTATGAACATAACACATCAACAGTATGAACTTAACACATCAACAGTATGTACATAACAATCAACAGTAAGAACGTAACACTTCAACAGTATGAACATAACACATTAACAGTATGAACGTAACACATCAACAGTATGAACATAACACATCAACATTATGAACATAACACATCAACAGTATGAACATAACCCATCAACAGTATGAACATAACGCATCAACAGTATGAACATAATGCACACATCAATAGTATGAACATAACGCATCAACAGTATGAACATAACACATCAACAGTATGAACAAAACACATCGAAAGTATGAACATAACACATCAACAGTATGAACATAACACATCGAAAGTATGAACATAACACATCAACAGTATGAACATAACACATCAACAGTATGAACATAATCAACAGTAAGAACATAATGCTTCAACAGTATGAACATAACATATCAACAGTATGAACATAACAAACCAACAGTATGAACATAACATACTGAACAATACATGTATGAAAATAACATATGAACATAACCAATCAACAGTATGAACATAACATCAACAGTATCACCATAGGAAATCAACAGTATGAACATAACAAACAACAGTATGAACATAATGCATCAACGGTATGAACATAACAATATGAACAGAATGGATCAGCAGTATGAACATAACACATCAGCAGTATGAACATAACAAACCAACAGTATGAACATAACACATCAGCAGTATGAACATAACAAACAAACAGTGTGATCATAACTCATCAACAGTATGAACATAACACATCAACAGAATGAACATAACACATTAACAGTATGAACATAATTCATCAAAATGACTTTAATCCTGTTGTTATCCTGTTTTGATGTTCCATGTGTTATAAACACAAGGACAAAATGCAGTTTGAAATCACCGCTTGGGCCGACTAGTGGGTTCACCTGAAGGTATGCGAGTCGGCAACATACACCTGTGACACCTGCAACATGAGCATTTACCGAAAGAAGCAATTTGAAGACCACATGGCTATGCACAAAGGGGAGAAGAACTACGCCTGTCCTTTTGTCACATGTGCATTCTATCGGCCCTTGTAATTTCTTGTGAAGTCGGCTAAACGGCGAATCTGCTTCCACAATTGTAGACAAACTGCATTTCATCCTTGTGTTTATAACATCTGTACAACACCACATACCGATAACACACTCTATATAGAGCTGTAACACCTATTTAATAATTATTTGAAGTTATAAATTGTATTAACCACTGTTGTGTCATAATTGAAAAAGTGCAACAATATAAGTTTACAAGGGAGCCTTGCCCCAAAGAACTCACCTGAGGACAGACTGTTATTTGTGTATTACAAGAATTTGAACGATGACGCTTCTTCATAAACATGGTCCTAATTTCATAGCTGTACATGAAAGCAAGATAAATATGTCACTGAATCAATATTTTGTTCATCTGATATCAGATTTCAGTTCTACACCTGACACAAAATTGTTCAAAGTGTCATAGCTGTATGTAAAGAAGCACGAAAGTACAACTGTAGGTAACTTTGTCCAAATCTGAGTCAGCTGATATCAAAGTTCAATTCTAAATTTACTACCGTGTACATGGTCCAAATTTCATTGCTGTCCATCAAAGGACAAGGAAGAAGGACAGTTCGTCAAAATCTAGGTCAACTGATATAAAAGTTCAAGTCAACATCTGAAACAGTGCACATGGTCCATATTTCATAGCGGTATATAAAGTTACAAAAATAGTATGCCAGTGTATCCCCTTTGGCAGGACAATGACAATTCTGACCCCAAGGCTTTAATTTAATCAATATAAGTACAGGTCCACCAGACCGTTACTCTTGTCAAAGACCTAAGCTCTAGCTATCTCCGTTGCAAAAAAATCTTTTTAATTGTTGTTTAATGTATATATTACGAAAACACATGACCCCAAGTGCGGAGCCTTTTTACCTTAGGGCCATAACTTGAACAATCTTTATAGAAATTCACAATGTTACAGGCCTGTGTGGTGATATTTCATTTTGTAGATACATTTATACACAGTAAGTCGATTTATTTTCATACTCCCGTGCATTATCCGTGAGGTCTTCCTCCACCAGTAAAGCTGGAACGTCGCCATATGACCTATACTGTGTCGGTGTGAATTTTATTTTCATTTGTTTTCTTCAACTCATTTATCGTATGGAAATTAATCAATACAAGAAAGAAAGTACTTACATGTATATTCAAGTTAAACGCTTAAAATGAACCATCAGAGAATTGTGAAATAACGAGCGACATATCTACAAAATGTGATGACATCAGTGATGAATAGTCTCTTGATTAAGCTATCAAAGAAAGCACCAGTGCATAAATGGTTTGACAATATTCCCAAAACCATATTGTCCAGATAAGAAACAAAGAGTACACAAAACCAAAAGTGACTGAAAATATAAGTACTTACAAAAGTGAAATGTTTGATTAAGACAATGTTACGGCGGACGGCGAGAAAAGGGGCGATCACAATTTATCTGAAGTTGATAGAAAGGGGCGTCCGTGGCCGAATGGTTAAGGTCGTTGACTTCAAACCATTTGCCCGTCACCGCTGTGGGTTCGAATCCCGACAGGGACTTTGGATTCTTTCATGTGAGGAAGCAATCCAGCTAGCTTACGGAACGTCGGTGGTTCTACTCAGGTGCCCGTTCGTGCCTGAAATAATGCACGGAAGGGCACCTGAGGTCTTCCTCCACCAGTAAAGCTGGAACGTCGCGATACTTATACTGTGTCGATGTGACGTAAAACCCAATAAACAAACAAACAAAAGTTGATAGAAACGTGTGAAAAGCCAGGCAAGATTGGAAAGAAGAAATACTGCCATGGCAACAGTTGAAACAGTTTGTTTTGGTTTGTGCATTTGTACGTGTCAATGGTGGTAGTTAGCCCAACACTTGATGTAGATGGCCTTTTGCATGGAGTTGGAGTCGTTTTAGCTAGACGATCTTTCATGTTAAATAGTGCTATAAATCCCATTAGAATGATTATAGTGAAATGTATCGCAAAATGCCGAATAATTTACGAAACTCACTATGAATGAATTATTCAACAATTTACATTCTTCACTGACAGTGATATTATGATCATTTTACGCGAATAATCATATGCATTTTACTATTAACTATTGTTGTACTTTTATTACAGAAATTTTTAAAACTTCAAATGTACTTAGAATAACTTTATCGCCGTCAGTAGAATTTTAGTAAGGTTTTTACAAACTTGTAAAACGAATTCAGCTTGTAGTATTCGTAGTTAATTGTTTTTGTTTGAAAAAGTAAAGTATGAAATTATAAGTCTAAGAACATGCAGAAATACCTGTTTAATGTATTTCATTATTTATTTTATCTGAATTATTTTCAATACAATATAATTATTTCGCTATATATTAAGTGCTTTTGTTATCCTACTTACGTAAAAATAAATAAACATACATGTACATTCTAATATGTATAATTTTTACTTTTTAGAAATGGTGGTGAATATTATCTGTTGATGAAAAAGATTCAAATGTTAATCGACCAGTCGCAATAGAAGCTTTATTCAATATTTTCAAACACTGTACGTAGGACAAAACACCCGACCATTCGAAATCAAGCTGCATAATTTTATGGATTTCTGATATTAACCTTAACTTTCATAGAAGCACCAGTTGATTGAGCCAAGTCAGTGCATATCAAAGTATGTCATTTACATGTAAAGTGAAATTCGTCATCTAGATCGCCGCAGTATAGTGACATTTACATGTAAAGTGAAATTCGTCATCTAGATCGCCACAGTATTGTGACATTTACATGTAAAGTGAAATTCGTCTTCTAGATCGCCACAGTATTGTGACATTTACATGTAAAGTGAAATTCGTCATCTAGATCGCCACAGTATTGTGACATTTACATGTAAAGTGAAATTCGTCATCTAGATCGCCGCAGTATAGTGACATTTACATGTAAAGTGAAATTCGTCTTCTAGATCGCCACAGTATTGTGACATTTACATGTAAAGTGAAATTCGTCTTCTAGATCGCCACAGTATTGTGACATTTACATGTAAAGTGAAATTCGTCATCCAGATCGCCGCAGTATAGTGACATTTACATGTTAAGTGAAATTCGTCTTCTAGATCGCCACAGTACTTCTAGATCGCCACAGTATATAGTGACATTTGCATGTACAAAGTGAAATTCGTCTTCTAGATCGCCACAGTACTTCTAGATCGCCACAGTATATAGTGACATTTATACATGTACAAAGTGAAATTCGTCTTCTAGATCGCCACAGTATAGTCACATCCTTGGGACACACACTGAACTTGGTTAACACATTTTGAAGTTTCCACAATAAATATAATCTGTTATCTTGTCTTTAAAATTTATATGGCAAATTTCAAAATATTGTTGGATAAAAAAGAATATAAAGATTTCTCACCAGACCATACATATCTTTACTTTCAAACATGTTACAAATACGTGTAATTAAAAGAACTAGAATGATATAAATATATGAATATATCTTAGTCTAGGAGCGGTTGTTCATTAAATGGTATCTAGACCGGAGATGGTACATCAGTACAATATGTTTATGATTTTGCCAGAATTTTTGTAATACTTGTATATGAAATGTACAGTAAAGGATGAAGTTCCGATGATCCACTTGACGAAGATTAAAAAAATAGTCAGTGCCAAAAATTTTGCAATAGGCATAGAATTGCCAGCAATGAAGCTGTAAAAAGGGGCGTGACAGCCCTGCCCCCGTTGATGTCATCCTCCAAAGTCTCATTCAAAATTTCACGGTTGCATGAGTCTAGCCGGGCGAACCAGGAGGAAAGGTCTAGTTTACCCTTTGTCGTTCTTTTTATAGCGTTTCTTATGAAGTCACCGACGTCTCCCGAGAAACACGGTTGCTGCTTAAGTTCTCTTACGTAGTTAAAACATTCTTTTCGACATTCTTCCGGAACGCAAAGTGCATTCACCGTCATGGTTATGTTCATTGTTTCGGGATTCCTTTAAGAAAGATGTATGAAATGTATAAATTTATGATAGTTCAATTAAATTCAAACTTAGTTTAATTCTGATTTGAAAGGTGAATGTTGTGGTCGCAACGTAGTAATACAATCATATTAATTAAAAAACTGGTGGATAAATTACAATTTTTGCAACAATTCAGAAAATAGGTCAGTTAAAAATTATAAACAAGAGACACGGCCGGGCGGCGGGGGCAACGCTCGACTATTTTATCTAAAAGCAAACAAATAAAAGGTTTAAATAAATCTGTAAAAAGAAAATTATAGAAAAAAGCCAAAGTATGCCACTAGGTCATAATCTAGACCAGCTGATAATCAAGTTTAATGTTACATCTAAAACTGTGCACATGATCCAAATTTCATAGCTTTTAATCAAAGGACAAGAAGGTAGATCACCAGGTCAAAACCTAGGTCACCTAATATCAAAGTTCATTCAAATCTAAAACTGTGTATAAAGTCCAAATCTTGCAACTGTAAGTGATAGCTATACATCAAAGAACAAGAAAGTAGTTCACTAAATTAAAATCTAGGTCAGCTGATGTAAAGTTCAAGTTAAATTTGAAACTATGCATATAGTTCAAATTTCATAGCTGTACATCAAAGGACAAGAAATTAGGTCACTAGGTCAAAATCTAGGTCAACTGACATCAAAGTTCAATCCTACATCTTTAACTGGGCACATGGTCCATATTTCATAGTTAAGGCATAAAGTATATGATAGAATAAGAGAATTTCATTAATTTGACCTAAACGGTCAATCAAAGGTCAAAAGGTCAAGGTCACATCTGAATTATTCAAAATGTGTTTTTTGTTTGTTTGTTTGTTGTTGTTTTTAATGTTTTTTTGTTTATTTTTTTTTTTTTTTAGAAAGTCTTGTTTTGTCCAAGTATAAATCAAATCCATACATTAGTAAATCTCAATAATTTTACCTTCAAGGTTGCCCAATGTCAATTTGAGTTTAATATACATGAAGGTCATTTCCTAAATAATGTTTGTCTTCATATGAAGTTAATTCATTCATAAATAACAAAGATATTGCCAGTTACAGAAAAAGAAGACAATTTCCTTAATTTGACCTTGACGGTAAAGGTAAATTTAAGGTTAAGGTTACATCTTAATTATTCAATATGTTTATTTGGTATCAATACTTGTTTTATCCAATAATAAATCAAATCCGTACAAAAATAACAAAATTATGACAATTTAACCAAAATTCAATAATTTGACCCCGATGGTCAATGTCATTTAACACTCAATGTCAAGGTTAGTTCAACCTTATAGAAGATCTTGTCCAAAAGGTTGTTTTATCTAAGTATGAAGATAATCCATCGATTAAGTACCATGTTACAGACAATTATAGCAAAATTAGTGAAAATTCAATAATCTAACATTCAAGGTCAATGTCATCAATGAGCCAAGGTCAGTTTATTTAATCATACATGAAGGTTTTATCCTAAAGAATGTTTTATCTTAATATGAAGTTAATCCATTTATAAATAACAAAGTTATAGCCAGTTACAGCAAATAAAAAAGAAAATTTCAATCATTTGACCTTCAAGGTCAAGGTCATTTATCAGTAAAGGTAAAGGTCTGTGTAGCTAACTTGAAGGTCTATCCTGATAGGTTCTTATGTTTAACTTTGAAGACAATCCATCCAAAAATTACAAAATTAAATCCACTAATAGCAAAAATTAAGCAAAATTTAGACATATAACCTTAAAGGTCAAGGTCATTTATGAATGTAGATCAAGTTTAGTCTGGTCTATTTGAAGGTCTTGTTCAAAGGGTTGTTATGATCAAGGTACAAGTTTGCGGGCGGCAACGGCAACGCCTACATGACTGTAACAATACCTCTATTTTTTCCACGAGAGCCAAACATATTACAACATTAAAATAATATTAAACTTAAGTGTGGTAAAAATAGGTCGACAAGAAATTATTATGTAACATCTTACGCAAGGTTTAAGATTTTACGTTTGTTACAACCACGGATCACATCTTGGTGTCTCATTTCACAAAAGCTTAAACTTTTCCAGGACAAACATTCTGCAAAAGAATCACATTTGCTGTCAACAGGTTAATTGATTTATTGTACGAATCATGTAACTGATAAGCCAACTTAACCTCAAATAAGCATCTTTAAGAAGAAACAACGGCAAATAAAAACTTTATCTATGCGGTCAGCAAATGAAGCAAATTTGATTTTAAATTAAATCTATCCTTGTAAAGTAATGGTAAAGTCAGTATATAACTCTCTTATATTCGGAACACCTTTCTATTTGCAAAACTTGGTAGTAGTCCTCATACTGTTAATTTAGATCTGAGAAGTTTCGATTTGCTTAAATTCACGTTCTTAATGTAAAGTGGCACACTACATGCAGTTATTGAATGGTTAGAGAGGATTTCTTGGATATTATGACAATAAAGGCTTTCAATGACCTGTTGTCTTTAAAGTGTATTTTCAGCAGAAAATTTGTTTTTGTGATTACTACGGAAGAGCATTAGTGCCAGGTGTATGTTTTTTATTAACTCGAAATTTCGACTTACTTATGTCGAAATTTCGAGTTACTAACTCGAAATTTCGACTTACTAACTCGAAATTTCGACTTAGTAACTCGAAATTTCGACTTACTAACTCGAAATTTCGAGTTACTTATTTCGAAATTTCGACATACTAACTCGAAATTTCGACTTACTAACTCGAAATTTCGAGTTACTTATCTCGAAATTTCGAGTTACTAACTCGAAATTTCGACTTACTAACTCGAAATTTCGACTCAGTAACTCGAAATTTCGACTTACTAACTCGAAATTTCGAGTTACTTATCTCGAAATTTCGACATACTAACTCGAAATTTCGACATACTAACCCGGCCAAAGTTATTAGTTAGATGGTATAAGATATAGTAGGGAGTGCCGTTGAACGATGGAGATGGAGAAACGGGTGCCTGGACAAAAACTATTGAAATTTAACTTAAACTTAGTAATGGCATGTACACACCCGACCTAAAAAATACAAGGCTTCCTTTAATTTGTACGTTCAGGCGTTCTTAAGACGTTGTATTGTATCCCATCTGTTCGAACATATCTTTTCACTAATCATATTCTTCTCATCCCTGTAAAAAAAACCGATCCTATACTTCACGTGTGGGACATCTGTACGGAATGCCGTTAGGGCCATCGCCTATGAATGTGTTGATCTAAAACGCGATAGTCGATAGTACGATGGTGAAAACGCGAAATTACGAAACTACGATGGCGAAAACGCGAAAGCACGATGATGAAAACGCGATGGTACGATGATGAAAACGCGAAATCACGAAACTACGATGGTGAAAACGCGACAGTACGATGGTGAAAACACGATAGTTTATCGCGTTTTCATCATCGTAGTATCGTACTGTCGCGTTTTCATCATCGTACTTTCGCGTTTTCATCATCGTGCTTTCGCGTTTTCACCATCGTAGTTTCGTGATTTCGCGTTTCACCATCGTACTATCGACTATCGCGTTTCAGATCAACACATTCATGGGCAATGGCCCTAACGGCATTCCGTACATCTGAGGAAAGTATCGCGGCGTGGCCAAAATAGGGCGTGCTGAGGCCTTTGTCAAAATTGTTGGACTGACTATATTTCTTGTAAAATCGGATGCTTTTATATTGTTCCCAACATATATATTATAACAAGTATCACTTTTATCAACTTTTATCAACACAATATGAATCAAAGTATTAGTAAATAATGAATAATGATACAAAAACATTATTAGTATAAAGAAACGTGACAGACTAACTGGCGTATACACGTCATTTAAAACTTATTTAACACATGATATTGCACAGTTTACAATAGGGTGGGTTTTGGACTTGTTGTTTCTCCATATGATGGTTGTATGTGTGCTTAAGAAAAGGAAACACCCGGTTAACACGGAAATGTGGAAAGTGTGATTTTACATCCCCCCTCCACAAAAAAGCGAAGGATATGTTCAGTATGTGTGGAAAATTTGACCCTATAAAATTGTCCTGTTAAATAAATGTTAAAGGTGCTCTGTCAATGTGCAACAGCTACACACGAAAGAAAGTATCTTGAATTCAATCCTTGCTTTCACCGGCAACCAATGAAAGTCGTGCAATGTAAGTCGAAATTTCGAGTTACTAAGTCGAAATTTCGAGTTACTAAGTCGAAATTTCGAGTTACTAAGTCGAAATTTCGAGTTAGTATGTCGAAATTTCGAGTTACTAAGTCGAAATTTCGAGTTAGTAACTCGAAATTTCGAGTTAGTAACTCGAAATTTCGAGATAAGTAACTCGAAATTTTGAGTTAAGTAAGTCGAAATTTCGAGTTAGTAAGTCGAAATTTCGAGTTAGTAACTCGAAATTTCGAGATAAGTAAGTCGAAATTTCGAGTTAGTAACTCGAAATTTCGAGTTAATAAAAAACATACACCTGGCACTAATGCTCTTCCGTAGATATCTAATATAATCACTGGCAAATTCTAAAACATGGCCAGAATTCTGTCAAGGCCGCCGTTTTTTGTAAACATTCTTTAAACAAACAAAAAAAAACATGCTCGATAAAAACAAATCATTTTTACATATACGAGTAATAAACTTTAAGCAGTAGCAAAAAATCTACAAGGTGAAGCACTTCTTGCTTGTGATAGTTTGCATATAAAGGTAGTTGATAAATAAGAGACAGTATTTCTTTAGTCTGCATATTTTAGGTATTTTTGGCAGAAGGGACGGAATGTGTTGTTTTTGGTCTAGGATCACAGTAGATTTTGGGCTTCAACGGATTGAAGTGCAACTTTTTTGACTGCCGGGATATTTTCATTGTAGATTTGCAATCTTGTCATATATGTTATCAACAAAATGTGTTTTCTTTTTACAGGTTTTTAGTTTGGGATGACAATTATCAGACATAATTGAGCCGTGTCATGACAAAACCAACATAATTGGTTTGCGGCAAGCATGGATCCAGACCAGCCTGCGCATTCGCGTAGTCTGATCAGGATCCATGCTGTTCGCTTACAAACTCTTTTACAAGTAGAGAAACTGATAGCGAACAGCATTAATTGATCCTGATCAGACTGCGCGGATGTGCAGGCTGGTCTTGATCCATGCTGGTCGCAAACCCATTATGTTGGTTTTGTCGTGACGCGGCTCAAATTGCTTTCATTGTAAGACATTGACGGCAGGAACTTGAAATTTAGTGAGGAGTGCTACCTAAGGTACTTACGGCCAGACATGAAATTTTCTTTGGGGTAGTAGGTAAAGAATGCAAGACACATCTCATCTGAGGTCGCGTCCCCAAAACTTGTTATATGTGACTTTGATACAGACGAATAAACGCACGTGGTTTTCAGCTCATCACCCTTTTGTACCATCACCGGGTCCTTATGGCTGAAAGTCAACACAAATTTAAATATATATCTATATGAAATATAACCAAAAAACACACAAACACATACACACACACATACGCACACTCGCATAAACACACACGCGCGCTCAAAAAAAACAACAAAAAAACAAAACATATTAATATTGAAAAGATTTGAATGAAAAAAAGTTTTAACCCGAACAACATACTCATTCACATCTGCTCTAAGGACAAGGAATAAGGAATTGCATAGCAACGTTAAAATCATTATAAGTATTCAATGTTTTAAGGCAGTAACAAACATTCATTCAGGGTTAACATGTACTCTTTTTTTCTGTTTTCTGCGTGTGCGTGTGAGGTTAGATGTTAAACAATGAATACCGCTCAAGCCGATTTGAGTGTGAGAGATGTTGCAATATTATCTCTCATGAACGCAGTCTATCAAACCGAGTCTACAATTTTCATAATATGAGCCGCGTCATGACAAAACCAACATAATGGGTTTGCGACCAGCATGGATCCAGACCAGCCTGCGCATCCGCGCAGTCTGATCAGGATCCATGCTGTTCGCTTATAAACTCTATAACAAGTAGAGAAACCAATAGCGAACAGCATGGATCCTGATCAGACTGCGCGAATGCTGGTCGCAAACGCACTATGTTGGTTTTGTCATGACGCGGCTCATATAATACTGTTTATTGTTTTCATTGCTACTGTTTATTGTTTCCATTGCTTCATAGTGATAAGGCGTTTGCGAGATGGGATTTTATAGCGTCTCCAAGAAGTAAACAGGTCAATCAAAAGAAATTATTAACAACCATATGTATATTCATAGCGCAAACAACATACGAGTATTAAAAATATTTTAAGGAAACTTACGAATGAATAATAGGCGTGTTGTAGTCATAAACTCTGTCCTCGGCAAGATTCGCCAAAAACGAGTTGTTTCTTCGTAGAACTGTGTATTGTGCTGTACCTTTAAGGTTTAAATGGGATATATGCCAGTACATGTATTCATTTGTTTTTTCCCCACTTTTCTTTTTTTGATAACATTAAATTAAAATTAATCACTCTACAAACATTGCCCCGTGAATATTACTTACTGGTTACTACTCACTACATGAACTTTGCTCAATACGCACTTTACCTCAAAAATTCATGAATATCACTCACTCACTTTTACCCACTCCAAAACTATTACTTATTGAACGCTAGTTACTCCATTAACATTAACAATACTTCTCATTCAGCAAACATTATAAACTGAACACAACCACTACCTACCACTACCTTCATTAACTATTAACAGTTTCCACTTTATTATATTATATTATATTATATTATATTATATAATATTATATTATATTATATTATATTATATTATATTATATTATATTATATTATATTATATTATATTATATTATATTATATTATATTATATTATATTATATTATATTATATTATATTATATTATATTATATTATATTATAGGACCAGGACCTGTTGAATGTTTTTTCCCACTAAAAAAAACTATTTCACTTCATGAGAATACTCACTGAGCACTTTAATTCTTACTCCAAAACATTTTTTCTTTGGTATTACTCACTATATGAACATAATGAGCATTAATTACTCCCGCAAAATAACTCACTACATAAACATTACAAACATTAATTAATTTCTCCGCAAAATTACTCACATTTCTCTTTGCTCACTTTTGATATACATATATTTCAAATTTGAAACATTGGCATTGAACACCTTTCCATTTTAACTACAATGAATCTAAAATAAGATTTTCAACTCCTATTGAAATATTATTTAGTTAACTGAAATTCTGTGAATATAATTTTGATAAAAGTGGACATAATCACCAAGGAGATGCATGTGATTGGTAACTTGTGTGACGTAGATGGTACCATTCATCATTTGGGATAGACAACTTCCGCCACAAGAACCGGAAACTTCGTAGTGTGACTCTCCCGGTGGGATTTCAAAGTGAACCTGACCAGTCATAAGGAAGCCAGCGTTGTAAGGGCGGAGCTTCGGGGTCAAGTAAAAGGTCATACCAGAACTGTCTGTATAGTTTGATAGTTTTTGAGGGTTGTTCCAATGATGCTACAAAATAATTTAAAAAAAAAGCATTTTGCTCTATAATTAAACACTGTGTATATATGTATTGTTTTTCTTTCAGGCGCGCGGTGTCACACATCGCACTTTTGGGGTCATAAGCAACGGAAAAGGTTGATCATTCGATTTTGTTTGTCTAGACTTTGTGTTTAAATGATAGATATCAGTGCTTCAAAAGGTGTACAAAGGTCATTAAGTAAATGAGTGGTCTACTGAATAGACAGTCGTAAATGCTATGTTTTCTTATCGTCAACGACTGGTTAATAATCGCTGTTTTTTTCTTGGTACTGGCACATGATCAGTTTAAACATTAAACTGATGTACGACTAGAACACATTTGCAAAAATCTACAGGTGCGCGATGACGCGTGACGTAATGCCAAACGGTCAAAATGAGGATCTGCAGAAAACATTTAGTCTTGTTATATTGACTTTATTGTCAATATAAGCTTTATAAAACCGAAAATGGGCTTCACTACTTATTCTGACACATAAAATAAAAATCTCAAATATTAACCAATCACCTTTTAGCAAAAAAGCGTTTACAGTAATATCGTACCTGCATCACGGCATATTTTAATCCTTTGTTGGCCCCTATAAGATATCCAGCATTTGGGTTATAGCAAGTCCCCACGCCACCAATAGCCCATGCAGCAATGAGTTCCCGACAACCCTCCATTGCTCCGCCACATTCTGTCGGCTTCATGAGTTCCGTTGGGGCCTCATTGACTGTAATACAATTATGTATAATAGTACAAGTTCGTGAAAATTCGGTAAATATCATCACGTTCGGTCTTTTAGTATTGAACAATGGATATCTTCTAAAATCGGTGCTTTGAATAAAAGACTTTAATACACAACGGTGATTACGAAGCTGGTTAATTTAATATGTAGAATTATTTTTATATACATTCATGAAAAACACAAAACATAGGTACCTTTGCTTTTAAAAAAAATAGGGTTCTTATTTAAAGGCCACTATATTTTACAATCATGTTTCTTTAATTGTGTAAACCTCGTACACAGCAATGCGCGTACACATTAATTTTTGATTTAAACTTGAGTAATTGTGTAAGACTTCAGCCCCCTATTCAACCAACTAAGCCTGACCCTGTGAACCCCTGATTATAAAGAAATAAGCAACCATTAATGATGTCTGACCTCCCTTGCACCCATACATCAATGAATGATGCATTATGTTGGAGTTGTCTATCACGGGCTCCGTTGCAATTAGGTGGTACTCGTTGTCCATCGGCAGCTCAAACGTAATACATATGTACGTGGTCTCTTTGTTTGGCACATCCGTTTCCGGGAATCGAACCGTATAGTTAAAAGTGTCTGTAAAAAATAAATTATTATGTTAATATGTACCATTTAATGTATTTCAAATACAACAGAACAAATGCACATCTTTTACTATAATTGAGAAAATGTAGGAAGGGCCAACACGCTAATGTTATTAAAACTTGTGGTCCGACCCTTTTGCTTTTTATAAACAAGTTCAGTATCCTTATAAATCAAAAATGTTTTGTCCCATGTTTGCATGTGACATATCGTACCTGTTTTGTAAAGAAAGAAAAAAAGCAATAAAATACATGTGCATGTATTACTATACTAAGCTAAGCTAAGCTAAATTAAACTAATTCCGTCCGTTATACTCATGACGTTAACTACGAAAGAAAAAAGACAGCAAATGTCCAATTTCTGTGTCCCACTTTAGTGGCGGGCATTTAGATTTACCCTTGTCCGTCCGTCCGTCCGTACAAACCAGAGCTACATTATGGGGTTTGGTCTATTGTTCTCATAAGAATAGATGTCTTTGATGTCATTCATTCCGTTTCTCTTGTGGGGTTATTTTCTGCATTGTGGGGTTAAAAAGAACAAAAGAAATAACAAAAGAAAACCCCATAATGTAGCTCTGGTAAGAATGTCCGTCCTTCCGTCCGTCCGTCCGTTCTCTTTTGTGTCGCACGTAACTCAAAAAGTATTTGACCTAGAGTCATGAAACTTAACAGGAATGTTGATCAGCATGTGTAGTTGTGCGCCTGGGTATTTTCATCTGGATATTTTTAGTATTTTCAGAGTTATTGCCCTTGACTTAGTAAAATTTTGCAATTTTCAACTTGTGTCGCAGGTAACTCAAAAAGGATTTGCCCTAGAGTCATGAAACTTTACAGGAATGTTGATCAGCATGTGTAGTTGTGCACCTGGGTATTTTCATCTGGATTTATCTAGTATTTTTAGAGTTATTGCCCTTGACTTAGTAAATTGTTTGCAATTTTCAACTTGTGTCGCATGAAATTCAAAAAGGATTTGACCTAGAGTCATTTAACCTTACGGGAAGGTTGCTCAGCATATTTAGTTTTGCACCTGGGGTTTCGCTTGTGGATTTATCCAGTATTTGTTATTTCCCTTGACTTAGTAAAAAAACGTTTCATTATGTTGTTATTTGTTCCTTGAGTGCTTGAGTTAGAATCAACAAACTTTAAAGGAATAATGATCAACATCACTAAATTACAGGAATAATGATTCACATCACTGTGAAGCTATGCACCTGGGACTTTGCATGTGGATTTTTTAGAGTTTTGTTAGAGTTATTGCCCTTGACTTACATTAGTATAAATTTGCAATTTCCAACTTGTTCATGCATAGCTCAAAAAGTATTTCACTTGTAGGCCTGAAAGTTTACAAGAATGTTCGTCAGCATGTGTACTTGTGCACCTTTTGGTTTGCTTGTGGATTTATTTAGTATTTGTAAAGTTCTTGCCCTCGCTTTACTTAGTAAAAGAATTTTAGTTTTCAAAAAATATTTGACCTAGATTTATAATGATTGTCAGAACAGTGGCGCGGTGGGGGCACCCGTGTCCTATGGACACATTTCTAGTTATTCTTTGGATGATCAAGGGAGTTCAATCGGCTAGCTTCTGTTTTATGTGATTTTCGAAATTAACTACCAATTCTTTCATTACAGTAAATGGTTTCAAACTGATATAAAAATTGGAAAAATATAATTTAGGCGTTTTGCATATATGGTTATTAGCTAAAATTCATTTCTTGCTTGTTGTGTTAATTTACCTGGCTGGTCTATGGCGTCGCACTCCAGTCGCCCAGTATCTTCACAGTTCACAAATGAAGGTTTTCCGCCGCAAAGTGGACTGTCAAAGGGCTGACATATCCCTAAAAGACAAGCAATCTTTTTAGATTTTGTTGTTGTTGTTTCTTTTTTTTCTTTTTCTTTTTTTAATAAAAAAGATAAATTTGAAGCATTTTAATTACAAGAAAAAGACATAAAATCGTATAAAATGAAAGGGTAAATTTGATCAAAGGGAGGCTTGACTCCATTCTATATAAATTGATGTTAGGTCATATTAAGTTTGTTGCCAAGTTTCAACTATATACTAAAGAATATATCTCATATGGGGTTGCGATAAAGAAAGATTGACTATTTGTTTTAATGGCCTTAGCTTGTCCAACTTTTTGTAATTTTGGCTCATACGGGACATGCTTTTATTTAACTTTGTATTTTGGCATATATACTTGTCCAACGTCAGATTATCTGCTAGCTTCTTCTACCGAAAATTTAAAGTAAACTATAAAATACAAAGAGCATGTTATTTTTGGTTGTTTCAATTTAAAGTAAATTACATGTGCTTATTCCATTATAAAACAACTGATAAACCAGACTGACAGAGTATTATGTAACAAGCTACTGAATGAATATGTACAAAACTAATGATCCCATGTCAGTTTTAACACCAAAATGACTATCATATCTCTCTGTTAGCCATTTTGAGACATTGTTTTCCCATTTAAAATCGAAGTACATTGTATATAATGTATCCTTAGTAAAGTATTTATAAGACAATGAAAAGAGACATAAAACATAAAAAAAAACAATCTTTTTAATAGTATTGAACACGAAAGAACATGCAATATACAAAAAGCAATAAAAATAATGGATAATAATTCTATGAGCACCCCCACCCTCACGAAATTACACTTAAAGAATTATGTACATAAATTAACGTTAATTTATATTAAATTTAAGAGGCATGATAAAATCTTATTTCCTTGTATTTTTGCAATTTCAAGAAAACTTAACTGGCCGAAGATTTTATATAATATTTTGAAAGAAAAGAAACCTAATAAAATCGAAACATTTTTATAGCATGAAAATATATAATCGTATAATTATAAATACACCATCATATTTTTATATAGTAGCAGGTATACCTACCAACACTGCTTTAAAAACTTGGCACATGAAAAACGATTGATGGACTCCGTGTGATTTGAAAAAAACGTTTAATGTGTGTCATTAAGATGCACCTATCGCAGTGATAGCATTTGCCTTTAAACTTTCATTTGTTATCTTTTCTCAAGATGGGACATTTAGCGGCAATAGTGCGACATTTACCGGCAATAGTGCGACCTTTACCGGCAATAGTGCGACATTTAGCGACAAGATGGATGAACTACTGTCTCAAAATGTTTCATTATGAATCACAGGGAACAATTATCCATTCAATTAGACAGAATGTAAACATATATTACAAGATGTGATCCGTATGATCACGCCAATGTTCAATTATGCACGAGCGATGTGTTGTAGGTACAAATATCTTATCATTTCTTAGCTTCCGTATAAAAGCAAACATATTGAAATTGTACATTGACTGTTGAAGAATGGTAAATGTGCATGTATACAGAGTATCGATTGTCTAAATTATAAATATTTATAATACTGTACATTTTTTAACATATCTTTCATTGGATAATCGTGACGTTTACATGAACTATATAAACGACTGCTGTCATTTTATGAAGTAATTTCATATATTTCTCTAATAAAATAAAATGTGCTGTATAACAAATCGTTATAAAGGTCTTGACAGGTTATATGGCCATATTTAAACGGTTGTTTGCAATATAGCCCGAGTGGCTATATGCAAACAAGCGTTAAAATAGGTCTATATACACCTGTAATGGAATAACCCATGATGGAATCATACAAAAGAATATTACCCGGATGTGACAAGTTTTCTGTAGTGTTGGGTTGTGAGCCCGGAGTCCACGTGCAATCTGGGTCACCTAATTCCTGTCCATTAGTTAACCCGTCACCGTCGGAATCCTTGTTGCAAAGCACAGTGTCCCATACCTTAATTTAGAAATACATTGCTTTATACAAAAATGTGTATATATTTTCCGGTGCTAATAACAAGAAATAATTGACTATGCCATGTCAATACCTAAAAGGACCTTTAAGTCCCCAAATGTTTGTATGCTTGTATGCTTGTGTGTTTTGTATCAGTTTCCGGTTACTCATTGACCATATATATAGCTCACAAGCATTTGATTTCGGGAGAAAGACCATTTTAATGAATAAGTACCTTAAAATTTATCCTAATGTAACGATCTTTTAACATTATTACCCGCCGTTTTACATGTGTAACATGTACTTATTGAAAAACGGGCGCGTATTAAAACAAACTTTTATTAAAGATCGTGTCATAAGGATAAATTTACAGCTACTGATTTGTTCAAAGGGTCTTTGTACGGAAGTGCCTATTCTTTAGCTGACCCATCTTCTGCTCGGGTGGAAGACAAAATTCCACTCTCTTCAGATCTCAATTTTTGAGTTTTTCTGGGGTGCCACTTTTATTACCCCATTGCTGCTTTCTCCACCTAATAATCGTCTACACATGACATGATAAAAACAATTAAAACATTATTAAACACAGGTTTTCCTTTTCTTGCAAAAAACTTATTTAGTTTGATAGGTTGTGATTTGACATGGCCGAGTGGGTAACGCGTCGAACTAGTAATCTAAGGATTGCTCGCCGAGTGGATTCAAACCCGGTCAGGGACAAGCCGTTGTGTGCTTAGTAGGAACGGATTTGAGTGTTTCAATAATCTTACAGATTCCAGCACAATCAAACTAAAATAAATTCAAATCAACTATAAAGTAATGTGGATTTGAATTTATCATTTAAGAAGGCATTGTTGCAGCCAGTTAACAGTTTTAAAGTGAATCAGACAACAATTGGTAAGATTCCATAAATTTTCAAATATTGACAAAAACTATAGAAATGTATCATTATGAAATGTTTGTATTATATCTATTTCTAAGTGCTTTAGTATAAACATTTATATGATGAATAATTATATTCTGTAACAAAACAATTAATTATCTGCTTTATAAAACTTAGAAAAATTTGCAATGTTTCCTCAACAATCATTTTATGTTTTCTGTTCTGTTCTGTAATCACGTACGGTACTGAATACTATCAATTTAATTATTTATGGTATTGTATGGACCACGTTATCGGACCTGTTGGAATTTCGAGATATATAAAAAAAAGTAAAAAAAAGGATAAAAAAACAACAAAAATCACAGCCAAACAAAGAACAAATGAATAGATAAATAAATAATCAAACAAACAAAATGAAACAAAACCAAAAACAACAAATTTTGTACATTCAAACAAAAAAAGTAAAGAATTAAACCTTATTATTGTTCTCAAAGTCCAATCCAAAAATGTTCCGTGTTCCAGCCCCTTTGGGATTCTCGTGCCCGACACCTTCCCAGTAGCGTCCCTTGATGCACGGGTGTGGCACTTTATTTCCATTTGGAATACTTTCCTTGAAGTACGGGTAACATATACAAGCCGAGACTAAACTGTACCATGTGAATACTTTGAAACACCAGCTCCTTGGTCCACAAAGTTTACTGAACATTGTAAATGTTGTCGCAAGTATTAAAATGATGATAATAATTAATAATAACAATAATAAAATCAGTTTCATTAAAATGTTTGGGGATACACAGGGAAAATTATTGTAAAAATTGGCGGAGATATATTTCAATAAACGAATATTAATGTCACTGAAAATGTTGATATTCTTGTACATTCTATCAGATCAGAACTTAATTAGAACTTAATTATGTGAGCCCTTTTGGGCATTTACAATGAAAACTGAGTATATTCTAAAACAGATTTGTTGCAATCGGTCTGTAATATTTAGATGTCAATAAATAAATAAATAAATAAATAAATAAATAAATAAATAAATAAATAAATAATATAAATAAATAAATATTTTTTCTTTCTTAAACAATACATGTATGATATATATCTTAAAATAAACTTCGGAACGAGAAAAAAAGTATATTATTAATAATCGTATTTTATGTGATTTCATTTATTTTTTTTTTAAATAATATTTATAGCTATTATTCAAATATAAATATTTAATTCAATTTATTTAACTTATGTACCTCATATTAAGCAAGTCTCAATATATATGCTATGTCCGAAACTTAATCTAAAATTTTAACAATCTTGACTAATATTATGGGTTTTATAGACAAAAGCCTTGAAGCATAAAGCGGTCAGTGAAACGTAGCATCTTTTAATCTCCACAAATATGTGGGTCACACAAAAACGAAAGATAGGGGATTTAGTCACATTTAATTTAAAGTCATAGCTTTTAACTGTATGATATTGCAGTTTATGCAGCTATGGACTTTTGCAGAGATATGTATTTCATTCTAAACTTACACGTCTTTGTTATATGTCTTAACCGCATTTCTTTTTCATTTCCTTCACTTCAATTTCCTTTCAATTATTGTAACCTATTAATTTCCTTCACTTCAATTTCCTTACAATTATAGTAACCTATTCATTTCTTTTACATCATTTTTTTCAGTTATTTTAACCTTTTGATTTCCTCCACTTCAATTTCTTTTCAATTATTGTAACCTATTCATTTCCTTCACTTTAATTGTATTTCAATTATTGAAGCCTATTCATTTCCTTCATTTCAATTTTCTTTCAATTATTGTAACCTATTCATTTCCTGCACTTTAATTTTATTACCTATTCATTACCTTCACTTTAATTTCGTTTCAATTATTGTAACCTATTCATTTCCTTCACTTTAAATTCCTTTCAATTATTGTGAACACTTGAAACTTAGTAAATCAATTCGATGGATTCATTTGCTTTTATAATAAGCTATAGTAAACGTAAAATACATTGACTCGGTGCCGTATAATTTTTTTTTCATGCACTATCTTTACTTAATTAAATTATATTAAGAAATGAAACTTCTTTCATACGATCAAACAAGAGTTCAATAGCCATAATCGGTTGTAAGGCATCATACAGCGGCAAATACTTTGAAAACATTTCTGTATGTTTTTGACGTCACCGCTTAAGACGTTGTAACAACGTTCAGACTGCGCGCATGCCTATTACAATGTTTGCTTAGATATGCATGTGGTGGTTAAAATTGTTATTTTTGTTTGGTTTGTTTCAATGTAAAGAGGATACATTACGTATCAATATATTGTTTGTTATATGAACTTTTGATGGATATTATAAAATTTATGGCTTCATTTTGGGCTTATCTGGACCACCCCTTGGATATTTTCAATATGAAGTGGACAAAAACATCCAGCCAAATAGTTTTATAACTACTTGTTGAAATTAAAAGGAAATTGAAGTGAAAGAAATGAATATGCTCATCTTCATATGAGAATTTAATATGGCGAATAAGATTTTTATGTCTTTCTCAGTTTGCATGAAGATGTACATTGTACTTGCAGGCTATTTTCTATTATTAACTATAGCACATTTTTACCACTGAACTATACAACAGTGATGCATGTACGTGTTTACCAACGTAAAATCTACTAATAATATTCATAATGTAATTGTTACAACTGGATTTTCTCTTTACGGCGATAAGAGGGTCCTTGCTTTTTACCTTGCACGAATATTGTATTTTAATCAACACAAATGGCAAACTTATCTTAAAACGTTATTGTGTCACTTGACCGGCAATGTTCAATGAACAGTCCTGGTTTTTAAACGTAGCCGGACGTTTTCAGTCACATATTTTGCTATGATTGTTTATCAACCTCAAACGAACATCGGAATTTACAGGGAATATCTATGTCATACAAGTACAAATGTTGCTGTGATGCAGCAATTGAGAAGCTCCGCGCAAAACAAATTACCTTACCAATTATTCCTACGCACAGGTCATGTTATATTTAGATTAAGTACTATTGTAGATTTTTTCCGAATGTTTTGTAAACCATTTTTTGGATAATTATACTTATCTTATGCACTGTCCATAATTAAAAAGAGGGGCCAGATATTTAATTTGAAAAAAATGCTTTCACTCATGCCTACCTGGTAAGGAAAGTAATTCCATTGAATATAAACAAGACGTACAAGACTTGTAAATAACTTTACTGTGTTTAGTTTGTGTCACTACTGTAGTCAGTAACATAAGATGATAAAAATATCAATGTCTGTTTTTCATTATTATAATTGTAACAAATATACAAATAGTAACAAATGGGACTAATATTATAATATAGTAATATAACATGCATTTTTTCATGTCAAATTAAAAAAAAATGGTTTCTTTCAATACTGATAGAAGACTGTTACCTGAATTTTAGGTATGAGGACATTCACTAACATCATGTTCGTGCGAGTCAAAGATATAAAAGCTACTTGACATTGGTGATATATAAAAAGCTATTGTTAATTGATTTATTGGGAGATCAATATACTTTTTTGCAGAATTGCTTAAAACCATTCATAAGAAAAATAAATACACCTCATGTTCAAACTGCAGATCAAAGTTTCTGTTGTTACCAATGTTGCGATCTATCTATCTATAGTCTATGCTTAATTCGGGTCCATCCGCCCGTACGGGCATAAAATGCAGCTTTCGCTGTCGAGTACGGACCCCGGACATATCATCAAGACATTACCAATGATGCATGTGTATGTAAGTTAAAGCTTAATGAGGGTCCATCCGCCCTTTCGGGCACAAAATGCAGCTTGCGCTGTCGAGTACGGACCCCGGACATGTCACCAGTCATGTCCTTAAAGAGTTAATTTTGAAGCACAAAATGGTGATAATTTACCTCTATGCAATTTCCACGGAGTATTAGCCAAAGATATGAATTTTGAGCCGAAAAGTAGGTCACTGTACGGCGGTCAATGAGAACCTAAATGTACAGTAACCTGTGACAATAGGAAAGGTGTTTTTAGCCCTGAAAAGGGCTGTTGGTGCCAGCTATAGGCCTGCCTTACAAGCCGTCTATCTGTACTAGGGGCTCACGCACCCTAG